AAGCTTGCCTCTTCATAAGATGTAGGCTCAATATCATGTGAAACATTATGGATAAACTGCTGACTTTCAGGACATAATGTAGAGAAGCATATATGATCAGGATGATTTGTGAAAGATGTGAGTGAATGTTGAGAATCAGTGACATTATTTATAGGTGAAGAGGAGTGTAGCTTAGGTAATGAATAGCTATAGTCTTTTAAGTAGTTTGGAGGATGACAAGATCTAGTTGTCCTTCTAGGTGTAAGAACAGATGCATTTGGTCCAGTAGGAGCTGTGACAGGTATATTTGGCTCAGTAGAAGGTGCTGTAGATTCTGTTACAGGTATATTTTCAGGTATGGGAACTTGATCATAGGTGACTTCATTCAGTGTGTGTTGACTCAACATCTCATCATCAATAAAGGTATTTGTTTTACTAGACATACAAGGCAACTTATTAGAGTGATGAACAAGGCATTGCAATATGAAATCAAAAGTAGAACCAGCAGGAGTAATGACAAAAGGAAGAATATTTTCATAGAAAGAGACATCTCTAGACACATGAATCCTCTTGGTAGCCAAGTTTAAGACCTTGTACCCTTTTGTGTTAAAGGGATATCCAACAAAAATATGAGGTACAGTTCTAGGCTCAAACTTATCCTTGTGAGTTTTTAAAGTAGTTGGAAAAAAAGACATCCAAAATTTTTAAGATGTGAGTAAAAAGGCTTTTTTTGATATAACAGTTCATATGGAGACTTCCCTTGAAGTAGTTTAGTGGGCAATCTATTAACCAAATAAGTGGCAGTTAATACACACTCTCCCCAATACCTCATAGGTATTTTTGATTGAAATAACAGTGCCCTTGCTGTCTCAAGAAGGTACTTGTGTTTCCTCTCTACTACCCCATTTTGTTGTGGTGTGTAGGGACAAGATTTCTGGTGTATTATGCCTTTTTCTTGGAAGAAACATGTTGCCTCAGTACTAGAAAATTCTAATCCATTATCAGACCTGATAGTTTTCAATCTAGTGTGGAACTGATTTTCTATTAGGGATATGAAGGCTTTTATAGTACAAAGAGCATTGCTTTTACACCTAATAAGTTGTGTCCAAGTAGCTCTACTGTAATCATCTACCATAGTCAAGAAATAGTGATATCCATCATGTGTTGGTACATTATAGGGTCCCCACAAGTCAACATGCAGCAACTCAAATATTGAACTGGTCATAGTAACACTTTCTGGAAATGGCATTCTAGTTTGTCTAGCCATTGGACAAATTGTACAAGTGAAAGGTTGTTTGTTGGAAAACTTTAGAGGTATGGTAGATATGCTCTTCATTTTCACAAATGGTACATGTCCTAGCCTAGCATGCCATAAGAACTCATTGTCTTGATTGAAAGAAAAATGAGCAGCTGAGTTAGAAATCTTATCATTGGAACAAACCTTTTTATTGATTGTATGAGAATGTTTTGTATTAGGTAGTGATGGTGCTTTACAGTAGTTCATAAAGGAAACAGATTGAAACTTCTGTTGGGAACCAGTATCATCATTTACAGATGGAATGTGACACTTTGAACAAAAAAGATACAAACCACTCCTTGCTTTACCAAGTGCCAGAGGGCTCTTCAGAGAAGGGCCCTGCAGTAAACAAGAGCTATTGTTAAAACTGACTATTCCTCTGAGTTGGTTGGCTAAACAATAGACTGATATTAGATTGAACTTGAATCTAGGTATATACAATACTTTATACAGAGTTAATGTTGAATTCAAACACACATCACCAATTTTAGTCACTTTAACCTTGTATCCATTTGGTAATGTGATTAAGAAGGGATAAGGTAGAGGCTTAAGGTTTATGAGATTGTGTTTTGTGTAGGTCATATGGTGAGATGCTCCTGAGTCAATGATCCAAGAGCCAGCAGTTAATCTTTCACATTTACATGACACATCACTTATCTTACTTATAGAAGAATGACAAGCAAGTATACCTGCTAGACTTGCAGCTCCACTTGACACATTGTTTGAATATTCAGACTCATTTCCAAGCAAGTTGAGCAATTGCTCATATTGACTCTTTGATAGATTCACTGGCATTTGTTTTCCCTGCTCAAAACTCTCTTCACACTTGTAACTATCACCCTCAGAGGTATGTACATTTGCTGCAGATCCTCTTCCTCTTCCTCTTGAATTTTTTGTGTTGGTTGGATAGCCATGAAGTTTGTAACATCTATCTTTGACATGTCCAGTTCGTTTACAATACTCACAAAACATATTTGATCTGTTACCAGCATTAGAGTTTCCCCTATAGGCATTAGTGTTGTTGAAATTTCCAGCATTGTTATTGTTAAAACTGCCAGTGTTGTTGTAACTTCCATTTCCCCTACCTATGCCTCCTTTATAAGAACTAGAATTTGTTGAATTACTTTGAGACAACATAGATGCATTAAGTGAACTGGACTCCAAAGCCATATGATTTGAAGGCTTCATTTCTCTCTGCCTCTCTTCCTGTGACAGGATAGCAAATGCCTGTGCCATTGTAGGCAAAGTAGCCATCATGAGGATGTTCCCTCGCACAGCAGTGTACATCTCATTTAAGCCCATCAAGAAGTGTATAAGTCTTCTGTCCTGTTCAGCTTTATACAGTTTTACCTTTCCTCCACAAGTACACACACAACTACATTGTGAATTCACATCAATTGCACTCATTTCCTCCCACAATTTCTTCATCTTTGTATAATAACCTGTGATGTCTAGAATGCCTTGTATCAAATCATTTATCTCCTTCTGCAACTGATATAGCTTACAGCCATTAGTCTGATCATATCTATCCTCCAATTCCTCCCACAATTCCTTAGCATTGTTCACATATTGCAGACTATCTCGTAGCTCTGGGGAGAGGGAGTTTAGAACCCAAGATGTCACCATATCATCACACCTCTCCCACTGCATGAATGATGGATCTGTAAAGCTTGGTTTCACAATTTTACCATTGATGAATCCAGTTTTATTCTTAACGGACAATGCTCTAAGGGCTGCTCTTCTCCATGATCTGTAACTGGTCCCATCAAACACCATAGGAACCAAGGTAGAAGTAGCATTTTCAGAAGGATGCAGATAGAAAGGGCTGTTAAAATCTGGTCGTTTTAAGGAGTTACTAGCATTCACATCAGTTGAAGTATCACCCATGAAGAATGAATTGATATTCAACAAATGGAAAATCTATGAATCAGCAACAAGTAACTAACCAAATCAAACAAAAACAGAGAACAACAAAAAAAACAAAAGAGAACAGAAGAGAAGAACAAACAAGTATGATCAGTGGGTCGATTAATCAATTAGATCGAAAAAGAAATCTAGTATGAGTAACCTTGCTCTGATACCATGATGAAATCATCAATACAAGATGATGAAGCCAGCAATTCAAGCTGGAAGCTGGAAGCTAATCTCATTCCTCCATTAATGGAGGTAGAGCTTCTAATAGCATGAAGGAAGAAGAGGGAATTTTCTGTATTGAATGCATATGTAAAGCATTACATTAGATGTGTATATATACACATCAATGAGTAGTAACAAATCACAAAAACAGAAATACAAAACATGTGATCTATAACTAACTACCCATGTGAATTATAACTAACTATAACTAACTACTTGAAAGTTGAGTTGACTAACTAACTAACTAACAAATTGATAACTAACTCACACTAAACAAGCTAGTTTTATCAAACAGTTTATATTATTCATATAAATTGTTGAATTACTAAATATGCAATTTATACCATGTTGATCTTTTTAATGCCTTTTGGTTTCTTATTGTTTATGGTACTAAATTATCTAAAAGGACATGCAAATCGGCTTGATTACTAGATCAAGTTATTTTCTCGATTATTGTATACAATATCTGAAATTAAGTCATAATATTTTTTTATCATATAAAATGTTATTAAGAATAATGTGCTAATTCATTTTAATTTTCATAAAAATAAGGTAATTAGTTTCAATTATTAAAAACTTGCATAGACACTCAATAGTCAATACTGTATCTAAGATTTGTTTGGCTATGTAATTCTTTATCTGTTCTTTTTCGGTTTCTCATTTGTACCCTGCCCACGACATAATATACATGATTTATTATAAATGCTACACACTTTTATTCTAATCACTGTTAAAAATTATTGTTCTTTCATGTAAAAAAAATCAAGATCAGGGGCTAACCAATCTCAAGTGGTCCTTATTAGATGGGTCTCTCAAATTGACTCTTCCTAAAGAGTCCCACGATCGCCAAGATTTGTCGGAGGAATTTGAGGAAATGCAAATGGCAGTTGTATTCGAATATTCAAGCGCAGG